TAACCGGCCAGTAACCATGAGATCTTGGGGCATAACCAAAGACATCATTATAACCAAAATAAAAATCACAAGAAATTATAACTAAATAATAAGTAACACAACAATGAGTCATAATAAAATAATAATCAATACCATAATTAGTCATAATCAAATACTACAAAGGTCATTTGTGGTATTCACTTTTTTTTAGATATGAATTGTACAATTTTCTATATAGGTGTATATATTAACATGACTACAGACATATAATTAATTACAGAATTTAATCACTATACATACCAAATAGTGGGGTCCCTAACCTTATTGCATATATGATTTCCTTTATTTTATTTACTAATTATTTTTTATTTTAATTTTCTTCTTCTTTTTTATTAATAGAAAAAAAAATATCAGTACTTTTTGGATAACTATACGGGGAGTAAATGTTTTTTTACTTCCATACTCCTTGAGTTCAAGCTCTGTATCACTCTGAACGGTATCGTACAGCTTGAGAGTACAACGACGGTGAGCTACTCGGCGGGTGTGTTGTCGGAAAACCCTCCGACAGTCAAGTTAGCACTGTTAGAGAAGAAAGACAAAAACAAAGATAGCTCTGAGTAAGGAAAGTTACAGACTTTTTGCATGGAGGTGCCACAGGGCTTGCATAGTTTATGTGCGCACTACCTTGACCCGCCTAGTCCATCAGCCTGCTTAAGGCCCACTCAAGGCCCAACCTGCTCGAGCCCAGTGTCTCTTTTTGTGGAAAATAATAAAATTTTGATAGGAAGAATAAAAGAAAAATGTTTAGGCCCGCCCAAGCCTATCCTAGGCCTGAATACCCCATGGGCCTAGGCTTAATTTTTGGCTCGTGACCTGGCCCGAATTTTGTTGGGATCTCGCAAGGCCTGACATGGATTAGATTGGGTCGGATCGGGCCAAATTTACACCCTTTAGAGTTATTTAGGATTATTTATTATTACTACGGAGGATGGGGGTGAACCATTTCTATCCTTCCTGATCCTTATTTTCTCTCTTTCTGGGTTTTCATGACAGATATTGCTGTCTTATGTCAGGTTTCAGCACAATGGGGATATAGCATATATATAATATATGGGTCACTTTTGGAGAGTGATTATTTGGTGGTTTATCACTTGACATTTGACAAGCTCTTTCCTAAAAATTTAACAGAAAGGTACTGAATCTCATTGTTTTAATTAATGAATATCATATTGGATTATCATGTGACATTACATGTTAAGTAAAAATATATAATTTCTCAACTTCTTAGAATTTACCACATGTAAATTATGATCACAAATATTATAATTAATTACTTTCAATTATAATTAGGGTTACAAACAAATTGAGTTGGGTTGAATTTTAATATGTTTAGACTTGCTTATGAAAATTTTAATGAGTTTAAACTCAAGCTCGAACTTAATAAAAATTTGACGAATCAAGTTCGAATTGTATTGGTTTAGACTTAACTCGAACTCAAATCTATTCACGAACCTTGACGAACCAAAAAATTATAAATTCATACTTTGCATGCCAGATTAAAGTTATAATTGAAGCTTTAATTATACAATTATATATATATATATATACACACTAAAATAAAAGTCAATATCTTGCCAAAATAATAATATCTACCACCATTATTCTATAAATGTATTCTTAATAGTTAGCTATTATTTATATATAAACAAATTTAATTATTATTTATGTTTACATTATTTAAATATATAAATAATAAATTTATTCTATTTTTGATACATATTTTTACATTATTTAATGTAAAAATAAAATGTTAATTGATGTGACCCGAATAAGTATACAAAAAAATGCACTTATTTAGCTCCGGTTTGGTTTTCTTTTTTGGCCAAATAATCACAAAAAGACAAAAACAAAAAATTACAAAATCACAAAATGACAAAACACTTTAAGTTGGGATACAAAATTACCAAATTAACCCATATACAAACAAAAAGTCAACAAAGCATCATTTCCAAGTAGAGGGCACTTTTGTCATTCAAATGAAAAAAAAGTTAAAAAAACCAAATAAGAAAACCAAACAAACAAAAAAACCTCAGGCTAAAAAATTCAAAAAAATTAAAAAGCTAACTAAATAAGTCTTTACCAACCACCCCTTAGAAGTTGTTTGAAATATTCTAAATAAGTGTACCTTTTAACTTTTTATGAAATATGAATTAAATTTGAAGTGATGTAATAGAGAAATGATGTGATTTGAATAAGATGATGTGACTTAAATAGAATAGTAACTTTTTGACTTTTTAACTTTTTTTTAGTATATGCCAAACAAGGTCTTAGTTTATGCCAAACCCCTCTAGTTTCTTACGTGGACTGACTTCATTGGTTGTCACAAATGAAGTTGCTTAATTAGAAGTTATTTGTTGGTTCTGGTGGTGCCCTCAGGTATGTTTTGATTGGGAGATTTTGTATTAGATAATTAAATAATACGAGGACATGAAAATTTCTGATTTGCTTAGAACATGACTAGATGGTACATCAGGGCCGACCAAAGCAAAGGCATTGAGAAGAGCACCGCAACAGAAGACACAACCGCCCATAAGCATGGAAAACTTGCGGCCCAGTTTCTTGGTCATTGTCGACGCCAAGAAGGACGCAAAAAGAGCAGCCAAATACAGAGACGACGTAAACATGGTCAGCGTTTGGCTGTTGAACTTGCAGTACTGATTGCTTGACTGATTGAGTTCTTCCTTCCGATACACAGACGGGAAAAACTTCTCAAGAAACGGAGCCATCGATGTCACCCCACCTAATCATCGTAGCAACACCAGTAATCAATATCATATATATATGAATAGACAAGATTGATTTTTCAACAGTAGCAGAACTGTGAAGAATTGAAGATTTATTAAGTTGAAGAACGGCTTACCAGAGATACCGATGTCGTAGCCAAAAATCAGACCACCCATGGCGGCGACGATGCAAGTTACGAAGACATACCAAGTAAGTTTTCTGGGATAATCTTTCGGGGAATCGTTACTAGCAGGAATGATAAGAGCACCAGCCATTGCTTGATTGAAGAATAAGAACAAGAACAAGAAAGAAGGACGAGGAGGCGTATATGCAGTAATCGAAACTAAAAAAGCAGAGAGAAGAGCGAGAGTTGGGTTTGTAGGCAATGATGGTTAGGGGTGCTTATATAGGAATCCGGATCCTCGTGCCCCTTTCTTGCAGGGCATCCTGTAGCCCTCCAAATGCCAGCTATAGAGTGAGAGTCAATGTGAAATTGAATCATTTTAGGATTTGGAAGTGCCAAGGAATGGAACTCTCTGTTTCCTAATCCGGACAGGGTTTGATTTCTTGTCTGTTTGGATGCCAGCTAATTAGTTAGTTAGACCAATTTTTTTATTTTAATTTTTTTTTTATCTTTACTGATTTTTTTTTTTGAAATTATAGTATTAAAATTTTTTATTCTTCCGATCATTTTGTGTAACAAATCTAAAAAGTAAAAAAATAAAAATGAAAAATGAAAAAGCTAAAATAAGTCCCAAAAAATTACTAAAATAAGTCCAAAAAATACTATTTTTTAAATTCTTTTATAATTTTTAAATTTTTTTTTGATTATTTCGTTCAACTGAATTTGGAAGCTTAAAAAAAACTACCAAGTAAACAAAATCAAATTGACTTGAAATGTTTTAAATAAATATATTTTTTGATTTTTTATAAAAAAAATGTATAAAAAAGTAAAAATAAAATGTTAATTGATGTGACCCAAATAAGTGTACAAAAAAATGCACTTATTTAGCTCCGGTTTGGTTTTCTTTTTTGGCCAAATAATCACAAAAAGACAAAAACAAAAAATTACAAAATCACAAAATGACAAAACACTTTAAGTTGGGATACAAAATTACCAAATTAACCCATATACAAACAAAAAGTCAACAAAGCATCATTTCCAAGTAGAGGGCACTTTTGTCATTCAAATGAAAAAAAGTTAAAAAAACCAAACAAACAAAAAAGCCTCAGGCTAAAAAATTCAAAAAAATTAAAAAGCTAACTAAATAAGTCTTTACCAAACCACCCCTTAGAAGTTGTTTGAAATATTCTAAATAAGTGTACCTTTTAACTTTTTATGAAATATGAATTAAATTTGAAGTGATGTAATAGAGAAATGATGTGATTTGAATAAGATGATGTGACTTAAATAGAATAGTAACTTTTTGACTTTTTAACTTTTTTTAGTATATGCCAAACAAGGTCTTAGTTTATGCCAAACCCCTCTACTTTCTTACGTGGACTGACTTCATTGGTTGTCACAAATGAAGTTGCTTAATTAGAAGTTATTTGTTGGTTCTGGTGGTGCCCTCAGGTATGTTTTGATTGGGAGATGGGGTGAAATTAGATAATTAAATGATATGAGGACATGAAAATTTGTGACTTGCTTGGGACATGGCCACATGGAACATCACGACCAATCAATAATTTTTCTTTAAGTTAGTGCTTGGGAGAAGGTCAAACTTTGTTTTGGGAAGGATTACAAATAAAGAGTTTGAGCACAAAATTATTGCAAAAAATAAATAAAACAATACAGTAAATACAATAGACATGAAAATATGTAAAATAATTAGACACCTTCTATTTACACTCAATAAATTTCTTATTACACTATACTTGTACATTAAGAAAAAAAAATGTTGTACAAATAAATATAATGTAATATTTAGTATGTAAATAGAATCATGTATATAATTAGAGAATTGCTAAATGCCTTTTTCTTTTTATTTTGGATCCTTCATTTTTTTTAATATTTATTTCATTACAATTTTGTCCTAATATCAAATTCCAATTTTGTCCCCATCCTATCCTCCCAAGTTTAACCCTAATCCTAATCCCACCACTACTTCCACTTCTATCGGCAGCCTCCGACGACCAACCCACCTCTTTTATTTTCCTCCTCTAACGAGCCTCTCACCACCACTTGTTATTCATGAAACTATCAATGTCGACGAAGGTTGGGGTTTTGGTGACGACGGCTAAAAAGGAGCGATTGATTCGCTAACTCTCTTTCACGATCTTCATCTTCATCTTCCGAAACCTACTCTCTTTTTTCCCTTCAGTGCATGACTCTCTCTCTCTCTCTCTCTCTCTCCACTTCACAGGTTGGTCGATTTTTCTTCGTTTGGTTACACAAAGCCAAACTTGTTCAATATGTTCGGTGCTCCACAACCAAACATATACCTTTTGTTCAGTTACATAATACCGAACATCAGGCTTTGTTTGGATCTGGTTTTCCGAATAGCCATGCCCTCGTTCTTGTTGCCAATCAAGATAAATGGAGCATTAGTGAATGAAATAAAATTATTACTACAAGAATAGTGGATTCCCAAAAACTTTACAGGAATATTATGTCATTTTCCAAAGAAGCATAAAATTTTAAAGATTCCATAAATTAAACACAAACATCAACATGAAAATGAGTGCTTGTAAGCAGCTACAATATTAGTGGAGCCAAAACAATATAATAGCCAACCAAGCTCTCAATTGTAAATCAAAAGCTATATAACAGTTAGATCATCTGAATTTTTACCTTCAACCTTTTGTCCTTTGGCAACGTATCAAAGAGAAGTATTCTCCTTCGGCAACATCACAGAGGGAAACCAAGCTCGGATTATGTAAAATAAGTTGAGAGATGTAAAATAAGTTGAGAGAGAGTTGAGAGAGTAAACACTCTGTTGTTGAAACTCTGTATTGAAACCAAATGAGAAGCTCCATATATAGGAGCGTAATTACAAGACATCATTATGAGTTACTTTAATAAAATAAAGAAAAGAGGGCCGAAAGAAGGGCGGGCTGCTTTCGGGCGGCCGAAAGCAGCGACAAGGAATATACATGATTATATATTATATTATATACATACTATATATTATATACTAATCATACTATATTATATACATATTATAGTATATGTTAACAGCCCCCCTCAAACTCAAGGAGGACAAACATCAACCAACTTGAGTTTGGAGACAAGTTCAACGAAGCGGCCAGGAGAATGAGCTTTGGTGAAGAGATCAGCAGGTTGATCAGCAGAGGAGATGGGATGGAGATGGACAGTACCACGAGTGACGTGTTGACGAATAAAATGACAGTCAATCTCAATGTGCTTGGTGCGATCATGAAAAACATCATTGTGAGCAATTTGAAGAGCACTGTGATTGTCACAAAAAAGGGCAGTAGCACCAGATGAGGGAACACCCAGATCAGCAAGAAGCCAACGACGCCAGAGAAGCTCCTGAGTAGTATCAGCAAGAGCACGGTATTCGGCTTCGGTACTGGAGCGAGCAGTAAGAGATTGTTTCTTGCTGCGCCAAGAAATAAGAGAATCACCCAGAAAAAAGCAGAACCCAGTAGTAGAGCGGCGGTCAGTAGGATCTCCACGAGTAACAGTGAGATAGACAAGGCTGCCAACCAGCTGTCGATATAGTGTAGCATCAGAGAGAAGAGTTCCATCAAGAGGTGTAAGACGACTCTGAGGCTCCAGGGGAGTGGAGGCAGTCTTGCAATCCGTAAGCCCAGCACGGGTGAGAAGATCAGATGTGGCTCTGCACTCAGAGAGAAAAGACCCCGTGGAATCATGGAAGATTTCAAGACCCAAGAAATAGCTGAGAGGACCAAGGTCTTTCATCTCGAAATGTTGGCTAAGAAACTGTTTAAGGCATAAAATACCATCAAGATCGTCACCGGTGATAATCATGTCATCCACATAAAGAAGAAGCAAGGTGATCCCTTGAGCAGTGGTCCGGATAAAAAGAGCAGTATCATAAGAACTGGAGGTGAAACCAAAGTCATGAATAGTAGAGCTGAACTTGGCAAACCAAGCGCGCGGAGCTTGTTTGAGACCATATAAAGCACGCTGAAGTTTGCAGACTTTATGAGGTGGATTAGTAGACCCAGGAGGAGGTTGCATGTAGACCTCCTCAAGAAGAACACCATTAAGGAAAGCATTTTTCACGTCCATTTGATAAAGATCCCAGTGTCGAGTGGTAGCAACCGCAATCAGGCTGCGAACAGAGGTGAGACGAGCAACAGGAGCAAAGGTCTCCTCATAGTCAATACCGTATTCTTGGTTGAAGCCTTTGGCAACAAGGCGGGCTTTGTAGCGCTCAATAGATCCATCAGAACAAGTTTTGATTTTGTAAACCCATTTGCAACCAATGGCAGTCTTGCCAGGAGGAAGATCAACAATGTCCCAAGTGTGAGTTTTGTCTAAAGCCTGCAATTCATCAGTCATAGCTTGCTGCCAAAGAGGATTAGAGCGAGCCTCACGATAGGAGGTCGGTTCATAAGTAGAAAAAGCAGTAGAACCAACAATAAAGTCACGAAGACGAGTAGAAGGTTGAGTTACCCGGTGTGGTCAAGTAGAGGCAGGAGGAGCCAAAGGGAGAGACTCACCAGGAGGGGAGGATCCCGAGGGAACAAGAGCAGGACCATCAGAGGTAGCAGGTGCATGGGACGGACCAGTAGGCAAGGCAGGCTCAAGAGAAGCCGGGAGGGGCGGTGGAGGAAGCTCATCAGAGAACTCGAGAGAAGCTGGCAAGGGCGGTGGGGTAGGCTCATCAGAGAACAGATCCGTGGAAGGGTCAGTAAAAAACAAAGTAGATGAGGGAATGGACAAACGGAAGAGAGAGAGAGAGGAAAACATTTTGTGTTCCCAAAAGACTACATGACGAGAGATACGGAGTCGCTGGGAGAGTAGTGTCAAAGATATGGCGATGTTTCCGTTCAGCACGTCCATTTTGTTGAGACGTACCGGGACAGGAACGATGAGGTTGAGTACCATGACGCTGAAGAAAAGAAAGAAAGTCAAAATCTTTATATTCCATGGCATTATCGAAGCGAAAAAGCTTAATATTTTTAGAAAATTGTGTTTGAACCATGGCAGCAAAATTGTAATAAAGTTGTTTGAGCTCAGAGCGATTTTTCATAAGAAACAACCATGTAAAACGGGAAAAATCATCTATAAAAACAACAAAATAGCGTGCGCCTCCCATAGTAGGAGTAGGAGAGGGTCCCCAAATATCAGAAGAAAAATAACAAAATAGCGTGTTCCCCCAATGGTGGGTGTAGAAGATGGGCCCCAACTATCAGAATGTATAAGATCAAAAGGAGCACAAGAAACAGAAGTACTTTTATTAATGGACAAAGCTGGTTGTTTGGCAAGTTGACAAGAAAAACAATCCAAATTATCTAAAGAGACATGACCTAACCGACCACTAGAAATTAAACATTTCAATCTATTAACAGAAATATGACCTAACCGATAATGCCAAATATGAAAAGGTGATAATGTAGAGACAGATGAAGTAGATGTAGGGGCAACCAATGGAGTGGAGACTAGGACATGAAGATGAATGAGCTCATAGAAACGTCCATGCTTACGGCTGATCCCAA